CCGTGTGGGCGGGTGACGTACCTTCGGCTTCCCACCCCTCGCAGGGGTGAGTGTCCTATGGGAAGGTCTGTTATGTCCTGCAGGCCTCTGCCTCTAAGCCCCTACCGAGGTAAGCTGGCCCGTGGGCCTCACTGCCGCGACCCAGCTGTGGTTCCAAAGGCAGCCGCCAGCGGCAGGCCAGGCACAGCGAGTGGGCAGACAGGAGGAGGGAGCCAAAACTCTGAACAAGGAGCAGGAAAGGGGGGTTGGAGGCAGCAGGTCCCTCGGCTAGCTCAGCAAGCACAGGCTGGAGCGTCCTTTCATGGAGAAGCTTCAGAGCCTCCCCAGGCCTGGACTCAGCTCAGCAGATATGGATGGACGGACGGACGGACGGATGAAGAGGAAAGCCATGAAAGAGGGAAGAGAGTAGTTTTGTGATGGAGTCCAACTAGCAGAAGAAACCAAGCAGAGTCCTGTCTATTTAGTCACTAAACAGTCGAGCAACACAAACATTCACACTGATTAAGGGTCACTTTGTGCCAGGCCCTGGGCTAAGCATTTTACAGGTGGCTACAAAGAGGTGGGATGTGCGTTCATCAAGCTCCAGGGTGGTGTGGTGCGGGAAGGAAGCTGGTGTTTTGGGAAAATGAAGTCAAGCAGAAGCCCTACCTCCTCTTCCTGGAGGGTGGGGAGCCGCTTGGGGAGGGGGTGTCCTTAGGAAGAGAGGTCTGGAGTGGGGTGAGCGGGGGCGGGGCACCTGGGGAGCGGGGACCACTCACTGCAGGGAGCATGTGAGCGGCTCTGTGAGAGGGAAGCTGCCGGGGGCGGGGGGGGCGGGGCAGGGCGGGGGGACAGGCTCTCTCCTTGACCAAACTTGAGACTCCTGAGCCCTCTTCTCCAGTAGATCTTGACCTTGACCTTCCCCCCTCCTCCCCTTTGGCTTGCCTGGCCCAGTCTTAGCAAGAATGCTGCTGAATCAGCTTAGAAAGTATCCCCCGCCCACCCCCCCACCCCCCACCCCCGCTCTGGCTATCTGATCACCCTGGATACCCAGTCACGGTCCTCCTTCCCCACCTTGGACATCTGGGTCCTTAGCCTGCCTTCAGCAAGATTCCTGCTAAGTCCCTTTAGCAAGACCCCCCCCGCCGCTATCTCCCCCAGTAACTTTCCATCACTGACCCTCACGCTGCTCCTCGGCTGTAAATCCCCACTTGTCCTTGCTGTGTTCAGGGTTGAACCTTATCTCACCCCTACTGCAACAGTCCTGAATAAAATCTTCCTCACCTTTTTAACAAGTGTCAAAATAACATTTTTTTACAGCGGGGGGTGTGGGGGGGGGCAGTTGTCAGAGCTTTTGTTAGGAATGTCCTGTTAGCCTCTTTCAGAAAAGCCACAGAGAGGCCTCTGGGGTCAGGTTGTTGTTTCTTCAGCTGACCCCCCCCCCCCCCCCCGACAATGGAGTCTAGTTTATCTTGTCGCTGAGTTATATGTTACCTCATTTGACCCTTCTAACGTCCCTCTGAGCATCCCTAGGGCCATGAGCACTGGTTGCAATATTTCCCCATGAGTCTCTCCAAGGTGGGGAGACTAAATAATTTATCCTTTGAACAAGGACATTCTGGGCTTCCTAAGAGTGAAACCAGTAAATCAAGCATCCTTATGAGGGATTAAACTTAGCTTTAAATCCTAGCTCTAGAAAGCATAGCTTCCTCTCCCCCCCCCCCCCCGATTATACCTGGATGATCAGCAACCCACAAGGCAGCAGAAGACAGTAGCAGGAACTAGTGGTCCAGGTCTGGACCCCTGGGAGGCTAAAGACAGCATCTTTATCTTATGTTTCAGCTCTGGAGCCCGAAGATGGAAAGGCAGCCCCTCCCCACGGCCACCACCAGCTACTTTCCCATGAAACCGGACAGAGGGACGCCGCGGCAGACTCAAAACTGCCCTCAAGAACTAAAGAAATGATTTATTACCCTTACTTCACCTCTGAGCACTTAGGCCCTAGCACCGCCTCAAACCCCCTAACCCAATAGTGTCTTGTGACTTTGTCCTGTATAATCTGTCACCTACCCACCATCACAGAGTTGGGGCTTTTGAGTATTAGTTTACCGTTCTTCTGGGCGGCGCCAGTCTTAATAAAATAACCAGTCTTTCTTCACTGCAGTTGCCGGTATTTAGTGTTTGGCTCTGCCAGCGCTGGATGGAGGAACTCTTTCTGTTCCATAACCTCACTAATAACTCTGGGACAACAGGTGCAAATCAAGACTTCGAGTTACCGATGGGCTCCCTTTCCCTGCGCACCTCCTGTCGGCTCCGGACCCTGGATCCCAGCACAAGGGCGCCTAGAGATGTGCGAGTGCAAAGTGGAAGTTACCCGAAAGGTCTGGAAATGAACGTCCGCCTCTAGCCCAGCGCAGTGGACACTAGAGGGCGGGCTAGTGCCGGACCCAGACTGTGCGCGCGGGGCGGGGACGCGGCGACGCCTGCGCGTTCGGGTCCCGTGACACCGCGCCCCGCCCCAAGTCGCCGCCGTCATGCAGTCCCCACCGGCGCTCGTCACCTCCAGGTGAGCCAGACCCCGGCGCCCCGATGCCGCGTCTTGCACATCGTGGAGTCTGGGTGTGCGTGGGCCGCGGCCCCATGCGCCCAGGCGGAGCAGCAGGCGGAGGCGGCGGCCCCCGGGGGACCCCGCCGCCTTCCGGCCTCTGCAGAGCTCCAGCCGTTTATCTGGACTCGGTTCCTCCAGCGCCCTGTTGGAGAGGTGGGCGGCATCGACTGTCCCCTTCTACAGATGGAAAAACTAAAGGCTCTAGAGGGTAACGAGCTCACTCAAGACCCGGTGAAAGAGGGTTCTCTTGTCCTCTTCCCCTACCCACCTGCGTTCATTTCTTTTTGGCACAAAAATTTGTCCTGCACCCCTTTAGTGCTCACCGTGTGTCAGGCCAGGTGCTCAGTACTGGGGACAGGGCTGAATCAGACAACGCTCAGCTCTGCAGGGGAAAGATGAACGGGGCCCACAAGTGGTAGGAGGGGTAGTAAGTCCGGATTGCCATGGAAACGCAGTGCAGGACCGTACCCAGGCTTCTGGAGGGGGTGAATGAGGCCATATCCTGTAGGAAGAGTGAGTGGACATTCCCAGGGGAGGAGTGAGAAGAGGAGGCAGCTGCTCAAGGAGGTGGCTCAGGAGAAGTGCAAGTCACAGCGAAAGACTTGGAGGGACCTGGAAGGGGAGGACCCTCTCCTCCACCCCCCATCCCTGGCCTGGAGGACCCAGTGCATGATGGACCTGGAAAGGCTGGTCTAGACACGCTTTTACTCTGCTTTCCCTCTTCTCAACATCTGTAAAGCGACTCACTTCAAGTGTTTTCATATACTCCGCCCTTGTTGCCCCCACACAAGATCTTGGGCAAAGATGACCATTGTATTACCTAAATGAATATGTTACCCAGCGCAACTTATTTTTCCAGCTGCAACTGAACTTCCCCGTGACTCCAGGTCTAGGCAGGCAGGGTTCTTTAAAAGTACACCCTGACGGGAGCACCCCCTTGGTCCCGTCTGCATCACGCAGTGAGGTTGCAGGTCACGGCTTCAGTGGCGGGAGAGAGCTCCCTGGTGCCACATCAGTCGCCTCCTCTTGCTGAGCGCCCATTTCCTTTGCAGGGACGGGGTTTGAGATCGGCAGGTGTGAGTGGGGCCAGCAGCAGGCACCCTTCTCAGCAGCTCGGAGGCCGATGCGACTTCGATGCTGGGTGCTTGGGAGGGGCTGTCCTCGCAGCCCACCCGCACAGGGCTCGTTCCCAGGCCCGAGCGCCAGTGGTGGAGGCCAGGTTCGTGGTGCCCATTGCTACTTGCAGTCAGGCCAGGCAGCGGCAAACGCCGGGGGTGGGGGCTGCCTGCAGGGTAAAGGCAAAGGCAAGGCCCAGCTTCCCACCACTACCCCCCCCGCCACCCCCCCACCCCCGTGCACTCACCCCTCCATCCCCCTGGCAGATCTTTATTGATCTGGTACCAACAGGAGGTGCCAGCCTGTGGGGAGGTGGTGGAGGGGGGCAGGGTCTGGGAGTGAGCCCTGGCTCTGCCTCTGACCTGCCGAGACCACGAGCCCGTGAGTGCCTTTCCATGCCTGTTTCTCTGTCCGTAAATGGGTGTAAGTAGCAGTGCTTTTGTGCAGGCCCACGGGAGGCTGGGTGCCTGGCACAGGTGAGGGGCTGGGAGCAGAGGCCGCAGTGGTGCCAACCACGATCACACCTCCAACCCTTAGTCCTGCCCTGCTCTCCCACATGCCTAACAGTGACGCCACCAGGGGCAGCCCGGTCTATTCTCAGTGTAAAGGTAGGAATGCTGTGTGGTTACTGGCGAAAGGAAACCTGGACTAATTTCTTGGGCATGTTTTTCCCTCTCACACACAGACCTCAGGGCTTAATCCACGCCCAACTGAAGGCAGGGTCGCCTGGGCCCTTCTCAGTGACTCGTATTGATTAGAGTATGCGTCATACCTGCCCGTGAGGGTCCGCGCGTGTGGAGGTTTATGTGGTCGGTGAATGTGTATACACACCGCGTACGAAGGCATATGGCAGCTCTCCTCCCCAGTTAGTGACCACCAGCATCACGTCAGTGACTGTCCCATGCCCAGTGTGGACATGGGAGGTGTCTGTGTGGAAGAAGTGCTGGGGGCAGCTGTCACTTGCTGGATGGGGATATAATTCCAGAGAAGGAAGGGGCCTTGCTCCAGGCTCAGTTTTAGTCCCGAAGCCCCCCTTCCCCTCAGGGACTCCTCTTCCCTGTATTCTGGAAGTCTGGCTCAGCACATAGTAGGTCCCCACCTTGATCATAACGTTCCCCACACGTGCTGTAGTAGGTGTTTGTGTGACATATGGCCTTGTGCATGGGTCTGCATTACCCTTACATAGGATGAGGACATGTTTAGCTTAATCTAACTTCAGAGAAAACGTTCCCTAACTTCTCTGCCCTGCATCCAAGTCAGTCTGCTTGCGTAGCATTTACAAGTTCTCCAAGAGCCGCAATGCTTTGCTGACAAGTGACCGTCTCGGTGCCTCTCGGGGGGCCAGGACCGAGGAGGACCCGGCACCCAGTGCTCTCCGTCCGCTCCCACGGGGTAGGTTCTGCAGCCGCTTGGCTGCCCGCTGGTAGCTGAAGACAAGCGGCTCCCTCCAGATCCCTGGCGCGGTTTCCCTCCTGCGTCGAGTGCACAGACCCAGGCACTTCCCTCGGTGTGAGCAGGATGCCTGATACGGGACGCTGTTCCCCGCAGCCTGCGGGCGCCTGAGTGCTGAGCTTGTGTGGGACGTGTAGCCACCCGTGATTCCCCACCGGCCGGCATTCCCTGTCCCCCCTGAACAGCCCTTTGTCTCTAACCGACCCAAAGACAGGGCTCAGGCCCTTATGGGGGCCTGGCATGTGGCAGAGCCGGTGGCCTGGAGCTGTGACCCCCGAGGACAGCCAGCAGAGCAGCCTTGCACCCAGGCCTGCTGAGCCACCCCGAGGTCCTGCCTGCGTTTCGCTCGAGAAGCCTGCTGACTTGACCTGAGCTGCCTTTGCCTTCTTTCCCTTTGGCAGGCGAGTTCAGAATGTCCACACGGGCCTCGACCTGACCGTGCCCCAGCACCAGGAGGTGCGGGGCAAGATGATGTCTGGTCACGTGGAATACCAGATCCTGGTGGTCACCCAGCTAGCTGCGTTCAAGTCGGCCAAGCACAAGCCCGAGGACATCGTCCAGTTCTTGGTGAGCTGGGGGCTCTGCCAGGATGCCCCCGAGGGTGCCCAGGGTCCGGGGATCCAGGTGGGCAGACATGTCTGCCGCCAGGTTACAAGTAGCATTGGGGGCGGACGCTTCAGCAGCCAACGCTCACTCAGGGCCAGAGCATGCTGGGACGGAGCCAATCAGATGCATATAGGAGTCAAGTGTGGGGAGCCAGACTTGGAAAGAGACAGATACAGTAACAGGAGCACACGAGGGGGGGGGGCGTGTGGGATGGTAGAAAAGGGGCACCTAACCCACCATAGGGAAAGGAAGGCTTCTCAGAAGAGGCGAGGACTGGGCTGTGTCTGAGTAGGTGGCACTAAGCTGCAGCGGAAAGGAAGATGGGGTCCCAGGCAGAGGGCACAGCCTAAGCAAAGGTGCGGAGGCTAGAAACACAGGGTGTTGTGTGGGTAGCTGGGAGCGACTGAGCGTCGCCCTGGGTGGGGTGGCAGAAGGTGAGGCTGGTGACGGGCAGGATCCGGCTCCTGCGGGGAGGGTGGGGGCCTGGCTGCTCTTGCAGCCACGGGAGTGACGTTGTCGTGTTTGCCTGTTGCTGGCCAGTCTGGTGGGAGAGTGGAGTTGGACTGGAAGGAATGGGCAGGGGGCCCAGTTACGAGGCTAATTCAGTGACCTCCGACCCCCGTGCGGGCTGGGAAACAGCCACACCCCTGCATGGAAGGGAGGGAGGGAGAGAGTTGGAAATAGTTCCAATTTCTGACTGATTGCTTCCGAAGGAGCCCTGGTGGAGAGGCAGGTCTTGGGACGCGTCGAGTGTGACGTGTCCGCCCAGTGGACACTCGAGGACAGAGAGCAGGACAGACCAGGTTGGGCCTCAGACGCACGTTTGGGAGACGTCTGCTTGGAGGTGATGTCGAAAGTCAGGGAGTGGATGAAGTGGCCCCCAAAATGGGACAGGCTGAGGAGGGAACCGTGCAGGACTCCATGACTGAGGGACAGCCAGGGAGAAGGCGCTGCCCCCAGGGTCTGAAGGAGAATTGGGCGTCATGGAGATGCAGGAGCCACAGGAAGGATGGAATTTCGAGACAGGGAGAGAGGTCACAGACTCCCCCGTTCTTACCTTTGGCTTCTCGTAAAAGGGCCCAGAGCTGTGACCAGTAGAGACAGGCCACAGGATCGTTAAAGGCAAAATGAGCCAGAATCCTGCGGTCCAGCAGGTTTGCTCACGAGAGACCTAACCTCCTGGCAGCCAAGACAGAAAGGGAGGCAGTGAGTGACTCGCTCTGAGGACCAGTTAGAAAAGACCAAGTTCTAAGGGAGAAACACTTATGCCACAAATCTTTTATTAAGGGACATCTAACACGTCATGGGCTGCATTCTGATGTTTGTCATTCGCTTCCTGGATTGACCCTTGGTGACAACCACGAGGTCACGTCAGTGGGTACTTCCGGGTCTGCTTCTCTCTGCGCGGCAGCTCGCGGCCCCTGGGGATCTGACTTGACCCAGGGTGGAGCTCAACGCAGCTACGTAGTCGTAGTCGGGGTTGCGAGCAGGAGAGGAGGAATATCTGAGATCAGCGTCCCTGGGCAGGCAGCATTCTGGGAGCCCCGAGGAGCGCCCTGGTGCACCTGCCGGGTTCCGCGCAGAGGGCCAGCCTCACGTGCGAGGGCGTGCGTGAGGATGTCCTGAACACCTCCACACAACACACCTGTGCTGCTGTTTCCTGACCTGACACCCGCGCCCTGCATGGTGTGTGTGTGTACGTGCACGGGTGAGGGCAAAGGAGCATGTGTCTACTCCCCAGAGGATCTAGGAATCTCTTCGAAGTTTCGTGATTTAGCTTAAAAAAAAAAAATTAGCATTTTGCATCTTACTTCTCAAAAGGACATAATGTGTTTTAATATAAAATTGACTTTAATCGCTAACCATTAGGGGTGTCCAACCTACGGCCTGTGACCCGCATGCGGCACAGGAAGGCTGTGAATGCAGCCCAACACAAAATCGTAAATTTACTTAAAACATTATGAGATTTTTTTTCTGTGACTATGTGTTGCAATATATTTAATGTGTGGCCCAAGACAACTCTTCTTCCAGTGTGGCCCAGAGACGCCAAAAGGTTGGACACCCCCGCTTCAACCAGCCTCTGGGAAGGGGCACTGTATTCGCTTGTGGTTTCGTGGACCCCCCTGCTGTGCTGGCCGTGATGACCCCCACACTGACGTCCGAGGGGTGCGGGGTAGCGATGCTGTCTGCCTGGCTCACCTGGGCACCAGTAGGCGGAGTTCCGGCCTCAGCTCCCAGCACCTCTCCCTCAGCCCCCTCGGGTCCCCGAACCTGGGACTCTGCGGGAAGCTAAGCGCTGTCCCAGGGTGACTGAGCTGGCCCAGGACTGCCTTCTGATGGCCAGCAGGAGCCCTGGCCTGCTTCCTTGAGGTCCCAGTGTGCAGACAGGTCCCGGCCGGTGGCAGAGAAACTGACTTGGCAACCTCCGCCTCTTCCCCGCCGGAGGACTGTTGCTAATTCCTGGGAGAATGATTCAGAGATCGGTGCTGAGGGAGGGCGACCTGCGCTATTGCCGGGAGGTGACCTAGCAGCCAGCCAGGCCATGAGGTCATGTCACGAATGCGCTGAAGGCCTGGAATGGAAGCGGTGACCATGGTCACCTGCAAGCTGGGGTCCTTGTATCAAATGTCTCTACCCAGACCTGTGACGGTCAGTACCCGGGACCCGCCATGGTTGCTTCTTTCCTTTGGGCCACGGAGACTTTCACCTTGGAACCTAACTTTCCTGAGGAGGGTTAACAAAGGGAGCCTGAGGCAGGGAGCCGGGCAGAGGGTCGGGAGGGAGGCGCGCTTCCTGCGACAGCTGATAGCCCCGCCCTGCCCTCGTGGGACCTCAGGCCGGGTCAGGAGGGGCACCGTCTCTGCGCTCTGTGCTCAGGAACCCACGTGCTTCGCTCCTCCAGGTCTCCAAAAAGTACAGCGAGATCGAGGAGTTTTACCAGAAACTGAGCGGGCGTTACCCAGCGGCCAGCCTTCCCCCGCTCCCCAGGAAGGTCCTGTTCGTTGGGGAGTCCGACATCCGGGAAAGGAGAGCCATGTTCAATGAGATCCTGCGCTGCATCGCCAAGGATGCCGACCTGGCCAGCAGCCCCGAGCTGCTAGAGTTCTTAGGTACCCGTGGTTCTGTCCCAAACCCCTGAGGTCTCCCCTGGCCCAGAGCTGGGCCTCGACAGGCACTGGGCCTCAGAGGTTCAGGAGGCGCTGCCTGCGCTGCGCCCTGAGGCTCCCACCTGTGACCACTTGCTCTGCTCCACGCTCCCCCGGTGCCGCCAACCCTCGAGGGCAGCGACAGGCACTCGGAGCCCCGGCTGCCCCCATCCACCCAGACCCCCGTCCTGGGCCCAGGGCTCGCAGGAAGCCCCGAGGTGCAGGCACGGGAGCCTGGGTGTGGCGAGGCACCTCCTCATCCCCTGGCAGTCGGCATCAGCGGCTCTTTCTGCTCCCTCACAGGCACCAGATCCCCGGGGGCTGCAGACCTCACCAGCAGAGATGTCTCTGTCCTGGACACAGACAGCCAAGCAGGGGACAGTGGGGAGGCTTTCGACTTCTTCCAGCAGCAGGAACAAGCGGAGGGACCGCCCACCCCAGGCCAGAAGGATAAGGAGGCAGAGGAGTCCTCGGAAGAGGAGGAGGCCCTCGACCCCCTGGGCATCATGCGGTAGGTGTCCCCGCCCCCTCCTGCTGGTTCCAGACTCTCTGGGGACACCACCTCCCTCCCCTCTGGGAGTGTGAGACCCCTCCCCTACCCGCTACCTGGGCCATCACCTTGTGAGGCCTGGTATCCCAGGGTTACTGGCTGCTCACCCCCACCTGTGTCTTTGGGGCTGAGCTCAGCTCTCAGGTGCCCCTCCCTGGTCACAGGGTGGCCCCCCGCCATTGCCGTTCCCTGGCTCTACACTGAGGCCTGGCAGAGCTGACCCCCAAACAGCTCAGAAGCCGAGGCTGCCTAACCCACTAGCCAGCCTGACTTGAGGCACGGGACCGGAGCTCCCTGCAGCGTGTCCGGCCGTCGGCAAAGCTGCGTTATTACTTGGCCCCGACTCCCCACAGGGTGGTGGTTAGGGTCCCACGAACCACATGGGTAGAGGGAACTGGTGACCCATAAGGTGCCAACGGTGTAACAGTGTGATTCAAGGGGGTACAGTGAGCCCAGGGCCCCTGGCCGGCGGAGTGTGCCCCCTTTACACACATGCGCACGCAAGCAAGCACGTGCAGAGGCACACGCACAGCTGCCAGCTGGAGAAGAGGTAAGCCAGCCGCTGTGGTCTTGGTGGTCCCTCCAGGATGGTGTCCTGCTTCTTCACCTTCTCGCTCCTCTCCTTTCCTGGCCCTCTGACTGCGCTCAGGGAGCTGCTCCTGAGAGCACACTGCATGGACCACCCTGTGCTGGGGGCGGGGTCTACAGGCCAGAATGAGACCAGAGAGCCAGACGTCTGCTCCCAAGCCCCTCCCCCGATGGGCGTGGGCTGAGGTGTTGGGGCAGAACCTCCCAACCAGAAGCAGACAAGGGGGACAGACAGACTCAGCCCCCAGAGCCCCCACTGCCTCCACTTGGCCCATACGCACAAGAAACAAAGTGAACCTACTTCGAGCTGGGCATTGTACTTTGCACTTGGCATACGTGTCTCATTGGTGCCCTGCAAGCAGCAGTTATTAACCCATTTCATTTTTTTTAAGATTTTATTTTTTAGGGAGGGGGAAGGGAGGGAGAATGAAAGGTCTCAGAGAGACATCAATGTGCAAGAGAGACATCGATCGGTTGTCTCTCACATGCCCCCAAATGGGGACCTGGCCTGCAACCCAGGCATGTGTCGTGACTGGGAATCGAACCGGTGAGCTTGCGGTTCACAGGCCCACACTCAGTCAACTAAGCCACACCAGCCAGCGCATTAACCCGTTTTACAGATGAAACAAACAGGCCAAGTATGTTGCCTGAGATCAGACAGCTAGTAAATAATGGGACTGAGATTCAAACCAAGTGTAAGATCCTGGACTGTGGAGCCAGTCTGCCCGGGTCTGAGTCCCAACTCTGCCATTTACGGGCCATGTTTCCCTGGCAACTTATGCCTTTTCTTAAATTTTCTGTAGCAAAAATAGGGTAACGATAGCCCCTGTCCCTTGGTGCTCTTGAGACGTTTGAATTCACGTAAATGTTAGTGCTTAGCTCTTTTCACGGCCCCGTCTTTCTGCCCCGCCACACCACAAAATCAGACCACAGGCCCAGGGGGACGTTCTCTCAGCTCTCACAGGCTCACTGAAGTTCAGTCAACAGACGAGGGAGGCCTGCCTCGCAGGGACTGTTCCAAAAAGGAGCTGAAGAGAAATCAGGCGGGGGCCAACCCCCTTAAACGACATGAGGGGCAGACGTGGCCGTCTGGGCTGCGGGCTGGTGTGGGGCTTGCCTGGGGGAGAGGGTCCTTCTCGGGGAAGGTGCCAGGGTGCCTGGGGACGTGGCATTGGAGCCGGACGTCCTGCAGCCCCGTGGTGCCCGGGAGTCAGGCCCCTCCTGACTCCCCATGGCCGGCCTTGTCCTGGAGCCGAGGGACTGGCCCTGTGAGAGCAGCAGCAAGGGTGGCTGGGTAATGTCAGGAGAGATTTGTCATCATCCTTCCTTATCAGCCTTACATAACCAGCAGGCCCGTCTTGGGCTTTATTTTGGTAAGATGAGGGCTTTGTTTAAACTCATGCTCTGTGTTGTTCTGAGTTACCACACTTAGTGCCAGGCTGAGACCGACTTGGGCAGTTTGTGCCAACCTGTGGCCGAAGGGTGTGCTTAGCAAAGCGGCTCCTTTTTTGGGTAGGAAAATGCTCTTTGGGGTTGGCAGGGGCCACCTTGGATTTCCTCCCTGCTCCGGTAGCAGATCATCGGGAGTTGCATCAGCTGTCCCTGGACCACCGGTCCCCAGCGCTGTCCCTGGCTTTGCACTCCGGGACGCCGCGCCTGAATCCTAGGAGAGCTTAGCCCCGAAAGGGATCCCAGAGGTCTAAGACCTTCTGCCAGTTTTTCACTTAATGACCAGTGTGACAACAGTTAGTGCTGTCACCTCATCAGCAAGAATAAACAACTACCTTTTCTGAGAGGTTATTAAAAAGATCATGATGCACCTACTGCTTTCGGGTCCACTGTGAGTCTGGTTTGGGGCATGGCAGCTGACAGCGGCACAGCCGCATTGCATGTCTGCGGAAGCCAGTGTTTGGAGTCAAGCAGCCATTCTCTCAGCCGACAGCCACAGAGAGTCAGGGACATCAGAGGCGAGGTGAGTCACTCAGTTTCCAAGCCTCATTTCTCCCCTTTACTCACAGGTCACGTGAGCGTGGACACAGGCGGCACTTCCCCCCATGCCACACTTTCAACAGCCTGAGAGCTAGGCAGGACCCCAGGATTATCCCCCTTTCACAGGTGGGGAAATTGAGGACAGAGCTGAGTGGGGACTTGTCCAGACCCTTGCGTGTGGGTGCATAAGCACCTTGAAAGTCAGATTTCCTCCAGCCTCTTCTAGGACACACAGGTGGCCTGTTGACTTGCTTGCACGGTATGGCCACCCTGCCCTTGGGTGGGGAACATGTTCTTTGCCGATGGCTTACTCTTTACTTAAGTATTTCTCCATCCTGTGCCCGTGATTCCTCTGCGGAGGGCAGCAGGGCCGGCCTTCCCAGCTGCGCCTGCGCCCCGCCCCCAAGCGCCGCGCCGGACCGACTCCGGCTTCTGTCCTCCCTGTCACGGCCGCGCCGGGGCGCTGTTGCTCCGCTGCAGAAGGTCGGCGCCGCCTGCACAAAGCCCGGAGCAGGGACCGGGCTGGCTTTTCTTTGTCTTTTAAACCTGGTTTTGATTAGGAAAAAGAGGAGTTACGACACCATTAGAAAGCGCTTAAAAATAGAAAAAGCCCCCACCCGGCCCACCCCGGCACTCCGCGCTCGTATTTGTGTGGGTTTTGTACCTCCCTGTCCCGGCGTGATCGACGTAGTTGCAGACGTTAACCCGTGTGCCTTTTCATATTCTGTTTTTTCACTCAGTGTCCTCGTCGGTCACTTGCCATATCGTACATAGTTTTCATGTTTAACTTTCTATTTTTGATGCTTCAGTGTTCCAAGATGAAGTTCAACCATAACAGCCCTGCCTTCTGCTGGAAATACTCTCCTAGGAACATTTTTAACTATAACTTGAATAATATACAATGGGCATATAAAAATTGGAAACACCGTTAACAGTTCTTTTGCCACAAAGGTACATATTTTTGGGTACTCGTGTTTTATTGCCAAAATGGGATTGTGTCCCACCTGCCATTTCATAATTTTTTTTTTTTACCTTATATATTTGGCTTTTCCAGATCAAGAAACACACTTCCACAGCTTTACTCTGTGCTAGTGCGTGGGGTCCGTGTGCTGTACGTGGCATTGTCGGGCTCCTGCTTGCGGGCCCCGTGTTTTCTGTAGGTGTTTCCTATCACAGGAAGTGGGGAACTTTTTCATGTATGGGGGGGGGTTATTCTCTTGAACTTGCCCCCCAGACACCTGCCCCAGATTAGAGTCCCAGACACCTGTGCCAGGGGCCTCAGCTGTGCCACTCAGAGTAGTGAAGGGTCTTTATGGACTCTTACCCTCTGCCGGGAAGGCCTGTCTGCCTTTTCAAACCCTGCCTGCAGTGTCCCCACTCCCCCCCCGCCCCGCCACCCCACAAGTTCTGAGGGAGCCCTCCAGGGCCCGGGTCCCTGCAGGCTCCCCCTGCCCTAGGGACAGGCTGGTTCCCGCACACACACCCCCTTCCTGGAAGCCTGCGCTTCCCACACTGGGCTCAGAGGCCGGAGCCAGCGACCGGGGCCGTGCCATGGCCAAGGGCTAAAGCTGGACATTTCTGTGGAAAGCAGAGCTGGGCAGTACGTCCTGCAGACAGCTGGGGAGGCGGTGAGGAGGAGGCACGGAGGGGACAGTGGGGACGCCAGGGCCGTAGCCCGGGTGTGCAGCCTGCGGCTGTGCTCGCACGACCCGTGAGTGAGGGGGAGGAACTGGGCTTGGAAACAGAGTGACTCGCCTCCGCCGTGGCCTGCCTGACCCTGAGCTGGAGGTCGAAATCTGGCATCACCCTAGACAGGCCTCTTCCACCGGTGATCGCTTCAACAGCCCAGTTCGTGAGCACTTTGCCTTCTAGTGTTCTCCCTGACCTTGCCGCCCTCTCACGAAGCAGCTCTGAGCATTTTTCCAGGGACTGTGAGCAAAGCTTCCCGGCAATCGGTTCTCAGCCATGCCCAAGTCACACACGCTGACAGAAGGAGGGTCTCGGTTCCCCTGCTGAGCCACCCATCCATCCTTGGTCCACGGAGGTGGCTGCGCCCGTGCCCGTCCCTGCTTCCGGGAAGCCCTCCTCGGTGCTCCGGCTGTGCTGGCATTGCCGCCCTGCGTGGCAATCATTGGTTTACGTGTCTGTGACTGCGGGCTCTGCAGGTCGCACCCATCCCTGAGCGCAGGTTCTCGGGTGTGGCAGGCGCCTCGTGAGGGTCGGAGGGGAGGAAGTGCCTGCAGAGCAGCTGAGGGGCGGGGGAGAGACCACCGAGGTGACTGAGCAAGCCCCGGAGGAGGCGCGGAGAAGCAGAGGCTTCCTGGGTACGGGTCTGTCTCAGTGGTGCTGGGGGCCCCTCCCTCTCTCTTTCCTCCCTCCCCTGGGGCCATAGGAAGAACTAAGTCTGGATAAGAGATGGACTGTCATCTTGTCTGTCCATCTCTGTCTATGTGTCTCTCCTTCCTTTACCCCCTTCCTTGCTTCCGTCATCTATTCATCCGTCTATCCATCCATCCATCCATCCGTCCATTTTTTTCACTCAGTATTGATTGAGCATCTGCTCAGGACCAGAGACCGAAGTTTGGGGACCAACCAGGACAGGGCCTTGGGGCTTTCAGCCACCAAAGGTCTGTATTTGCTGCTTGGTCAGGGGGCGGAGGATGGCCTAGGTGGCATGGGTGGAGCACAGAGGTGCCTTAGATTCACTTTATTTCAATTCAAGACAAGAAACGATCAGCAGCCTCTCCAGGGAGGAGAACAAGAACGTGCGTCCGATCTGAGAGAACAACTCCCACAGCAGGACTCTCAGGCCTCATCCGCGCGCTCAGACCCAGAAGGAGGCGTGAGGAGGGGGATCGCCGGACTCGGCAGGGCTTCGCCTGAGATAATCAATCACGCCAGTTCGCTCTCACTTCCTTTGTTCTCCGGAGGGCTCCCTCCTCGCCACGCGTCCTCTGGTTTCTGGTCCAGGGGCAGCCTCTCACCCTCCTGCCACGGGGGCCGTTTCCCGGGTAGGATGTGGGTTTGTTTCCTGCAGGAGCTGTTCTGGGGTCTGCTAGGATCGGGGCAGGGGGCCCCAGCCGGGCTTGCCGCCCCTCACTGCTGCAGTCCCTGTGAGCCCCAGGAGCGGGGCAGGCAAAGAGTGACGAGGGACAGCAGTGGGCCAGAGCCCGCGGGCCCCAGGCTGGTCCAGTGGCTCCCAAATCTGGCTGGTCACTGATGCCTCAGGGACTCACACGCAGCTTCCCGGGCGCACCCCTGGGTGAGGGGGTCTCGGCTGGGCCGTCTCCAGCAACCGGCCCTGAGAACCGTGGCCTCTCTGGTGCCCACCTCCCTGAGTCATTAGAACCAAACTCGCTCTGCCAGTCAGTGAAACGGAAGGGAGAACATCCCAGTGAGAACAGGCCGCTCTGACTCCTCGAGGGGTGTAGGGAGGGGCAGCTGAAGTTCTGGAAAGCACTTGCTGTCAGGATGGAGTCCAGGCTGCGTTCAGCTTTCCCAGTAGCACCAGCAGGGCCTGGGGCTGGCGCCAGAGCAGAGACATGTCCCTGGTGGCCTGTGTCGTGAGCCCGTCCAGCTTGTGCCCGGAACAGAGAAAGAACTGGGAACCGGGAGCCCGGGGCTTCCTGGCACAGCCCCTGCCCCGTCTCTGCTGTCCTTCTCCACCTCCCCAACGTGCCGCTGTCCCCGCAAGCACAGCATGACTGCGTCTGGTTCCTGCTCATGAGGGGCTTTGAGGAGCGGGAGCAGAGGGCTAGGCCCGTGACCGCCCTCAGTTCTAGTCACAGTGTGTGCCTGCTGTGTGGCCGCCAGCAGACTCATATCCTAGCCTCTGAACCAGCCTGTTCATCTGCCCAATGAGCCCGACAGGCTCCTCTGGTCGGGACGCAGGCCCTGATGGAGGGGGTTGCTCCGCCCTGCGACCTTCCTGCAGGTGCATTCCTGGCTTCTGTAGCTTCTCCCCATCCCCACTGGGGGCCTGAAATCCTACCAGGCGTCCAACTCCAGGCTGTGGGATGGTCGCCTCGGAGCACCTGGCCCTCCCACACCTGTCCTGCTGCTGGTTAATCTGTACTGTTGTTTCGGGGCAGAGCTGGCCTCTTGGCCCCGTTGAGCCACAGAGCGCTGCCAACATGAGCTCAGCTGGTGACTCTGTCCAGTGGAATTGCCTGCCAGGCAGGCGGCCGAACCAGAAACCCTGCTTCCAGTAAAGCGCTCATTCTCATTTGCAGGAACCTTAAAATGGCTCACGTGGGCATCGGCAGCAGGGATGGGGTCACCTTGTTACACTTAACCCAAGTTTATGTGCTTGTTGTGTGCCTGTGTACGGGCAGCGTAACTCAGGGCGGCGTGAGCGGGTCTGCGCACTCTGCCCCACGAATGCGCCCTGAGCGCTGTGAACCGCCCCCTGGGCCGGGTCACGAGCACCCCCACAGCCCAGAAGCTTCCATCGTGCCGCCCCCCTGGATTCCCACAGCTGTGTCTGGCCCAGAGCAGGACCTCAGCGCCCTTGGGGGTGGCAGAGCCTGGTGGGGTCTAAGTAGCTGAGGGGCTTCCTGGAGGAGGTGGGGTTTGCCCAGTGGGACCGAAATACTCACTCGGTTGATGAAGGTTATGCCATTGAGGTTGGCAGCCCCTGCAGCCTCTGGAGGGAGACGCAGTCCTCTGACCCGCGACCACGCAGTCACGCCTGGGACCGGAGTGGCTCTTCAGGGCTGGGGGCCGCCTGGCAGCCGGCCGCGTAGCCTGACACCCACCCTGTCTTCCCGCATGTCCCAGCAGTGGCGGTTCCCAGGCCCAGGGCTTGGCTGCTTCCAGTAGCGAGGTCTCGCCACCTCTCACGTCAGGTGCTTGGAAGTTTCTTTGGGACACACGATCAGGCCGCTCAGCCCACCCAGCACCTGTGTGGGTCTGACCAGGCCCCCTGGGCTGGGGAGCAGGGCTGTCCTGAGACGTCCTAACCTTGAGTTTTGTCTGTGATTCTCCAGCTCCAAGAAGCCCAAGAAACGCCCTGAAGTAGCCGTGAAGCCCAGACCCTCGCCTCGGCTGACCATCTTTGACGAAGAGGCGGACCCTGACGAGGGGCTGTTCCGCCCAAGCAGGAAGCTCTCCCCACAGGGCCCCGCAGAGGACACGGCCGCCAGGGACCGTATGTAGAGCCCCAGCGTGTTTACGTCACTCAAGGCGTCCCCTGGGTGACCCGACCAGCCTCTCTATGTGGCTTTGGACCTGCCTCATGCGAGCAGAACAGAAGTCTCTGCCTTGTCCCATTTCAGTGTGATACAGACTTGGTTCACGGAGACGTTCTGCTGGACAAATCTTGTCTCGCACCTCGTCTCTCACAGCTTGTGCTTATTCTGGTCCCTTGGAAGGGGACAGCAGTTTCTCTGTCACTTTGAGATGTGTGGGTCGGGATCAGCGTGGCCGGACACGGGCACAGGAGGAGAGCAGACGCTCACTGCTCCGGGCGTTCATCCTGCGACTCCAGGGTTTGGGTGGCGACAAGAGGTTTTGTGTTGCCTGCACAGGCCCCAGGGGAGGGCTCCGGGCAGAGATGGAGAAGAGAGAGCTGGGTGTCCTTAGGACTTCCACACGTGTCCCTGGGTCTGACCTTTCCTCACCTGCCGAGTCCTCTTCCAGGGCCGGGAATTGATACCGCCCATTAACTCGGCCAGCGCTCAGCGGCCAGCCGCCGAGGGCCGGGCCCTGTGCTGGGATGAGTAAGACACAGGCCAGCCTCAGGGCCTCCCATGGGACACAGGATACCTGACTCTGAGCAGGATGTCAGTGCCTGAGGGGACAGCAGGGAAGGCTCGGTGCGTGGGGCAGTGTTGGGTGGAGACACTACGTGAGCTGGATCCCGAAAGGCCAGCGCAGTGTGCTGGGCTGCTAGAAAGGGAGGCTGTTCTGGGTGAAGAGGCCGTGATCCCCTTTCCTGAGGGCAGCAGAGAGGGGGAGGGGTGGGGCGCACCAGGGTCCCGCGAGGCAGGGACCGTGATGAGGACGGCGCAGCTCAGCACTGCATCCCCGCAGGCGGCAGCCCTTGGCCAGGGGTCGGTGCTCAGTGAGCATTTGGGGGAACATGGGGTGCAGCCATGGAGGCTGGGCTAAGAGGTCCAGCTGGGCCACGTCATGGGAGCCTGGCGCTGTGAGCTAAAGAGGCGTTTTCCTCCTAAGAGCAGTGGGAAGGCCCCTGGACTTGAACGGAGGGGTGCCGTGCGCTGACTGGCGCCATATGGCAGGTGTGGCAGAGTCGGGCTGGGCGGAGAGGTGTGCCCGCCCTGATGAGCACCTGTCTCTCACACTCACCCGTCCCCATTCGGCTGGCTCTGTGTCCTGCCTTGTCCCTTGGTTGCTCTCGCCTGGCTGGGCCAGGCCATCTCTGCCCTGCAGCCCAAGGCCACGGAGGACAGGCCAGACGTCTTCCTCTGACCAGTCTGCTGCCGTCCTCTCCACAGCCCTGAAGTTGTTTGACGACCCTGACCTCGGCGGGGCCATCGCCCTGGGGGACCCCTTACTGCTGCCGGCAGCCCGTGAGAGCGGAGGACCCACCCCCGGCCCAGGCCACAGGGACGCCTCCGAGGACCTGTTCAGGTACCACCTGTCCCCAGCGGTGCTTCACCAGCTCCGGGAGTGGCCTGGACAGAGCCACAGACCTGTCCCAACAGAGCAGCTCTTCGCTGGCCTTGGTCTCTGGGGAGGGGATCCAGGCCCTGGGAAGGCGGGTAGGTGGGAGCTGGCCCCAAGGCCGTGATGGGGCCCCGGTGAGGGAAGACGGGGTCCGGCAGCTCAGCAGTTTCCAGAAAGAGAACTTACTAAGTTACTTAATTGCAAGAGCAAGTATAGCCGGCATCAACAGTTTGGGGAGCAAATGAGCTGACCCCTGGCAGCATGCGGTGCCCCTGGAGGGAGCCAAGCACACACATGCTGGGCAGTGGCCGGTCCCCGGCAGGGTCCCATCAGGAGACCTTACAGAGGGGAGAGCGAGGCTTAATTGTTAGGTGCAGGGTGGCGGGCAGGCCGCGCGCTGAGCTGATAGCTGCTACTTAACAGAGTGCCCGCCATGGTCCCGCAGCCTCCTGGGCTCGTACATGTGGCCTTCCTCACCTAGGCCTCACGACAGCCCCCTGGGTGGGTGCTGTTACCTGCATTTTCTAGAAAATGGAGTGTGGAGGAGGTAACGGGCCCAAAGCCACAGCTCCCCAGAGCGTTGGAAGGCAGGGTAGCCCCCCTGGGAGGTCCTTGAACCCGAGGCAGCTGTGAATGGGCAGGTGGGTGGTAGGATGGGTTGGATGCGTCTCCCATTTTGGGCCTGATCTCCAGGAATTGAGTTCCTCCCCCAGAGCTGGCAGCAGGGGCTCCCTTGGGCCAAGAGGGTGGAGTCCAGCTGTGGCCTCTTTTCTTAACTGCCGTTGGATAGCTGGTGCTGATCCTGTGTGACCATTACATCACTGTGGCCTTTAGTTCTGTCGTCCACCCCTTAGGTCCAGGGCCAAGGTGGAATCTTGGTGGGCCATGGCTGCGGCCAGCTCCAGCCCTTGGAGGGCTCTGTCCAGTGCCCGGGGGGCCCACAGAGGTGCCCTGTGAGCGAGCGGACCTGCCTGAGACGGCAGTTAGTTAGCGTGTGGCAGTGCCTGTGTTGGAACCGGGATGTCTGACTTCACAAGCTGGGCTCTCATGTAGACCAAGTTCCGCCAGAGTGAGGGCGAGGGAGGGGCTCTGACTGCAGGGAGGGGGTGGGGGTGCTCTGCTCATGCACACCTGGCTCTTTGGGCAGGAGGGCATGCTCAGGGCGTCTCCCTCTGGTTCCCTAGAGTTGAAGAGGACTTGGACCAGATTCTGAACCTGGGGGCTGAGACCAAACCCCAGCCCCAGCCTAAGCCCAAGCCGCCAGTGGCCGCTAAGCCAGCGCTACCCAGAAAGCCAGCAGTTCCCCCCAGAGCGGGCCCCTCTGAGGCCCTGGCCAGGCAGCAGCAGCAGCAGCGGCAGAAGATCCAGGCCATGGACGAGATGGACATCTTGCAGTACATCCGGGACCACGACACCCCTGGCCAGGCCGCCCCCAGCCTCTTCTGAGCCCCGCTCCCCTGCACTGGCCCACCGCCCCTCCCCCGTGGTGAGGTGGGGTCTGTGCCTTGCAGGCCAGGACCTTTCGTCCCAGGGGAGGGCGGGCAGGGTACAGGACTCCTCTACCACCTGGTTTCCTTTTTCTCTGGCCTGTGGGGTCGTGGAACCCTGCAGGGTGCAGAGAAGGTCACCGTAGGAATTGAGCCCCGTTGTCTCAGCCACATGTATGGGGAAGAGCGTGTGGGGACACCTGGCTAACCAGGAGCCGGCCCCCGGGTGGACTGAGCGGGGGAACCCAGGGAGGCTCCACTCAGGGCAGAAGACTCCATGCCCACTCGTACCTTCCGGCTCTGCCACCTCGGCACAGTGGGGAGGGTCTGCCAACCTGGGGTGGGCCTGGGGGGACCGGGGTCTCTGGGCAGCGTGGCTCCTGGGGCCTGTACGCTCTGGGAGGGCCCCCCAGGAGAGGGATGCCTGGGAGGGCCTGGCTGGGCGGGGTGCCGCTGAGTCGCCTCTGGTTGCCAGGTGCTAAGCAGGGTGCTTTCCCTTGTGTCCAACTTAGAGACGTCAGGCCCAGCCCTGCGTCTCCGATGGCCTAACAAGCCCAGGTCTTCCTCTCTCCCTTTCCGGGCAAGACCTGGCCAGACAGACCGTAGTCCCCTTGGGCTCTGGCTGTAGAGCCAGTGGGGCCCTGAGCAGAGTGACCACCGCATCCTGCGGAGCTCGACCCAGGCCTGGGCCCGGCGTGTCCCTCCTGCTCAGGGTGGGCCTTGGCAGGGTGCTCTCCGGCTGCTGCTTTGAAGGCCTAGTCTGTCCAGGGGCAGATGCTGCCAGGCCTTCCCTGTCCTCTGGGTCTGGGCTTGCTCACCAGCCCCTCACAGCGGGAGCTGCCTTCCCAGGGCGAGGGAGCCTTATCCCCGGCAGGGCCAGTGCCTTAGACTTCTCCCGGATGCCACACGCCCGGCACGCGGGTCTGGGCCTGGTGCGGTGCTCAGGAAATGTGAATGAACGCTGTTTAACAGAGCAAAGGATGCCTTTTTATGACACATTCTTCATGTTCAGACCTAGTTTTTAATGAAACAAGTTTTTTATGAAATGCAACCACTCTTGTCCCTGGGTTTGCCTGACAGAGGCATTGGAAGGGGGTTGGGGACAAGGAGCCCCGACCTTTCCTAATCGGGGCCACCCGCCAACCCCGAGGGAAGCCCCCTGGCCCAGGCCAGGTGCTTGCGTCCATCAGAGCCTCTTGTCCCCTGTCTCTGCGCTGTGCCAAGACCTGTGGGCGGTCAGGGAACTCCGTCTGGTCTGTTGTGTGTCCTGCTCACTCTCATCAGCTGTCCAGTCCTGAAAAGGCTGTCCCCACCCCTCCACCTGTGCCAGAGTGAGAGGAAACAGGCAGTTCTGGGGTCTGAGAGCTGATTCCTTCCCTCTTTGCCTTACCCCGGCCCCCAGGGCCCCGGCTCCTAGCTCACGCCACTCCCGTTCGCTGCCGGGCCCTCTCACCCCAACCAGCCCTGCCCGCTGGCTTGCTGGCTGCAGGAAGGGCTGCAGCTCTGCCCGGGCTCTTTCCTGCCCTGTTCTCAACTCTGGACCCCATGCCAGCTCCCTGCCCTCCCCTTAATGGCTCCCCCCCACCACCACCTCTCACCAACGTGTGACGTGGGAGCCGAGGGTGCAGCCGACAGGTGCCCGGTGCCCACGGGGGCTGCCGCCCTAGGGTGAGTTTATCCACTGAGGCCCGGCCGCCTCAGTGGCCTGGTGCTCTCCAGTCACCTCAGCAAAGAGGTTTGCTTCTCAGATACCGATGTCCAGCCTGCAGCTGTTGTCACCGCAGGGCTGCGACCTACTGGTCAATCGGTAGCACCCAGTCATGCAATAAAGTCGATGTCAGTGACCATCCCAGCCTTTGTTAGTGGCGTTCTCTTCTGCACCAGGGGCAAAGGGGGCTGTGGGGGTTGTCTTTGTAACAGTGAGCTCGATGTCCTTGCAGGACGTGGGGTCTCCCAACTGCTGCTCCATAGAGTGGGGTGAAGGCAAAGGGAGGTTCCCACTGTGTGAACTGAGGCCCGCTGGGAGTCGGGGTCAACAGCTGCCCAGCGAGGACCCTTCCTTCCCCAGACCTCACCTCCCTTCTCCTGAGAGTGGAGACCGGTCTAGGAGGCTCTTTGACTCTGGACAGTGCTGTCCACCTGTACACAAGCCTGTCCCGGCCTCCACACCTGCCTGAGCTCAGATTCTGAGACACTGCTTTGTGCTCAGGACCCCGAGGGAAACCAGCATCCCGGGGGCCAGGAAGGCCGTGTGGGGGGCAGGGGGAGGGTCTGAGTCAACCCTGGCCCCCCACCCCACCCCTTGGCTCTGGACCTTGTAGCTAAGCTCAAATTGGGATTTTGGCTCCTGAGGACAAGGAGCTGGGTGGTTCTGAGAAGGACCATTCAGCGCATGAGCTGGAGCTGAGAGTTCACCATAGCGGGAAAGCAAAGGATTAATGGGATGCAGAGTGTTTGTCTTGAAGCTGTGGTGAGCCTCGTGGACAGGGTGTCCCGTCTGTGACAAGGATCCCATTCCCTTCCAGCATTGTTCCCCTCAGGAAGCCGGGGACTGCGGCCAGTCCTCCTGGAAAGTCCCGATCACGGCGCCTGTGCTGGCCGGCACCCACCCTTCCAAGCTCTGCTGCCCGTCACTATCAGTGCGAGGCATCTGGTCCCCAGGTCACCACCACCTGTGCCGGGGCTGCCCTCTCACAGGACACAGACAAGGCAGAAGTCCAGTCACTCCTGGGGGTCTTGAGGCCTCGGTGCTGCGCTGCCCCCTTGGACTGTGTGGATCCACCCCATGCAGCGATGTGTGACCCAGTGTAGGGCTTCGCTTGGACTCCACACTTGTGATCTCCAGGGAAACCTGAAGTGGAAAGTCATGGTCAGCTCTCCAGCTCCCCAGCTGTCTGGCTGAGCATACCCTGGTAGAAAGAAGGGCGACAGAGCTACTGTCCCCTGGGTGGTGGCCCTGGCCAGGTGGCAGGCACCACCTCCCATTGCTGCTGGGTCTTCGTGGTCGACACTTGGCGCCTTGGAGTGGCTGACGATTTAATGTCAAGTCTTGGGTGGTGCCATTCAGGGCAAACTGCTCCAAACCACTCCCCGCGCGGCGCCCTGAGGCCTCACAGTTGGGGCAGCTGACAGAGGGCCAGGGGAGGAATCAGCCGTCAGGCTCCATGGGCATGGAAGGATCTAGGTTCCAGTCCAGCTCGGCTATGTGACATCCCCTCACCCCTCAGTGCTGAGTAAAGAGACTTCCTTGGGCTCCAGTGAAAGGTCCAGATGACTAATATCCTATTTGTGCCTGAAGGAGTTTCCACGAGCTGGTCACTCAAGTTCATTGCCCACCCCTGCCTGGAACACGCAGGGTGCTCACAGGAAGTGGCACGCTGTTGGGGGGAGGGTCAGAAGGCACTGCCGCCTCCAGCCAAGCCCGGCCTCCAGCCGGGGCACTGGCCATTGATTCCCAGGTGTTACACTGACGCAGGTGTGCAGCATGAGGAGCCCAGCCTGAAGGGTAAACGCTGGTCCCCCTGCCCCATGGCTGGCTCCTGGCCCTTGCTCTCTGTGGCTCTGGCCACTGGTGGGAGCACTTCATCGCTCAGGCCGCACTCAGGATAAAGCCGCAGCTCCCGGAGCGGGTGGCCTCAGCAAGCAGAGTCCCTGCTGACAACATCCAGAGGAGCTGAAGCCACTCTGCCAACTCAGGGAGCAGCCGCAGCCTCTGAAGTGCTTTTCAGTCAAACGGAGTTAGCTTGCTCCTACCCGGCTGCTGGTCAGGTCACCTGCCATGCAAAGCTCATTCCGAAACATGAGGCATTTGGTGGCGCCTACTGTGTGCAGGCGCTACAAATCGAACACGGGGAGCCGGGCGGGGTGAGGCACAGGAAAGCAAGGAAAATGCAAATTGGCCCTTTTGGCCCAAGAGCTCCCCATCTTCCTGGGCAGCAGTCACAGGTTGGTGAGGAAGCAGACACAAGCTGTTAGGAGCCAGACACGTTCATGAACAATACGGTGCAGAGCAGAGGCTTGAGGGCTATGTAGCAGGCACCGCTCTGGGGCTGTGACACAGGGAGACAGGGTGAGGACACAGGGAGAGAAGCAGGCCAGCATGGCCAGGGAACATTTCTTGAGCACCCACTGGGTGTAGTACCCATCCCAAGCACGATGGAGGATGCAAAGATGAAAGAGCAAGAGCCCATAAAGCCTGATCTACCAGAAGCCAGGCTGTGCCCCTTGTTACAGTTCTGTGTTTGGGCCTCCTGCCCGAACGTCAGACACAAATAAAAGTGGCGCTTTCTCCTCCATGCAGCCCCCTCTGCTTTCCTCTCCGACACCTACCAGCACATACAGTGTGTTGCATGCAGCCTGAGCCCAGCTCTTGGTCATTGTAATTATTTCTGAGGGCAGCCATGACAAAGAACTACAAACTGGGTGACATTATACCACAAATTCGTTGGCAAGACCACCCTTTCTCTCTCAGCCCTTCCTTGCTGCTCCCAGCTCCTGGTGGCTGCTGACCACCCTTGGAGGTCCTTGGCTTGCAGCGGCGCTGCTCTGGTCCGCCTTCGTCTTCACATGGCCTCATGTGTGTCTCCATCGTCACACGGTTTTCTGTGTCTTCTGTGTGTCTGTGTCCAAACTTCCCTCTACTTGGAAGGACAGCAGTCACTGGATTAGGGCCCACCTGAATCTAATATGACCTTATTTTACATCTGCAAGATCCTATTTCCAAATAAGGTGCCATTCACGTGTCCCAGATGGACTTGAATTTCAGGGGACATTGTTCAACCTGGTTCAGTCACTAGGGGTCTGGTACCTTCCAGGAGGCTGAGTTACTTGAGAGCAGAAGCGATGACTTGCATGTCTCCAGTATCTGCTTTAGGGCCTTTTGGGTGCCGCCTGGTACCACGTGATCTTGCAGCCTTGTTATAAGATTTGGTAGATACTGGAGTCACCTCGCCACTGACAACGGTAGCAACCTTTGTACGTTCTTATGA